GGTCGGGAGCCTCCGTAGCACCCGCACGAGGATCCATATTAAGGGTAAAAACACAACTCGGGGATGCTTGGAGCTCGTTTGTGCCGGTGCTTCGTTTGGCTGTGACTCGTTAAGCTGAATTGCTGGATGCAGAAAATATTGGGAACCCTTTTTCTGCTCGGTGAAGGGTTTCCACAGGGGGGTTTTCTCCTGCGTGGGGAATACGCCATGAGGCAGTTGAAAAGTTTAGTGGGTGAAGGATCGAGCAAATGGCCATTTTTGGTAGAATTTGGGGTGTTGGTTTATTTTTTTGCAATAGGTCCAGAGCAGAGATGGCAGGAATGGGAGCAAAGTGCTGGGATCACAGAGCAAATCGAGAGCTTAAAAAATATCGCCGTGTATTTTCATGCTTTTTCTAAGATTAAAAAAAAATTCAATTTCACGATGAAAACTCGTCTGTTCGGACAAAGGGAAACGTAAGCTTTAGTGAAGCTCCTGAAAGCCACTCCCGGGGCTGCGGTTGAGCTGTTTTTCCTTGTCCTGCCTGGCTCCGTCTGCTTGGGTAGGTTTGGCAAAGATTCACAGCGCTCTGTTGGATGTGAGTCTGCATTTTTCCAGAGCGGAAACCTTTCCAAAACCATCTCTCCGCTCTGGTTCCGGGTTAAATCCTTGAGGATCCTTGTCCTTTTTCCTTGCAGCCTGGGGATTGCCGACGGCGCTGCCCTGCGTCCCCAGGAGGATGCTCCCAGCCTATGGGAGTGGAAAATCGAGCTGGGGTTTGGAGTGAGATGGGTGGATACGGGGGGGTGAAGGCAGCACAGTGGGATCCTCAGGTTTCCTGCGGGCAGCGTTTCGGATCCCACAAGGAATCCAGGGCTCTGCTTTCACCAAGTGCCTGCAACGCGTCACTTGACGTCAGAACTATATTGCACAGAGCGGGATTATTGCCCTCTGCTGCTCCTCACTCTGCTTTTTGCTCCGTAGCTCTGAGTTGAGGCGCTGAGCTGCCGTTTCCAATCTCAGGCTGTTGCCCTTTCCTCTCGGGAAGATGCTGCTCCGACACGCCGCGCTCCCAACTGTGTACCTGTGGCATTGAGTTTGGGGGGAAGCAGGGTCTCGGGTTTATTTAGGATTACTTCTTTAGGATCAGAGCAGCCACTGGAATATTTCCCTGGTGCTGCCCATCGCCGAGAGCTGCTCTCAGCAGGTGACCCGGCGTTTAAGCCCGCACTTTTGTTCGTAGGTGTTGGTTGTGAAGATAGCGGAGTCCTCAGGCATGCGGATACCGTGTTCCCAGATAAAGCTGGGTCTTCACCTTGCTCTAAGGCGGCTCAAATGCTTAAGCTCTTCTCAAAACCACCTTCAATGTTTAGTGAGGACCAGCCAGAGTGTTTCCGTGGGTGCAGCTGCAGCGCGTGGACTTGCTCTGCGGAAGCCAGACGAGCCCGTGGGTCCTTGGGATCAGTTGCCGGGATCCCTGGAAGCATCTCGCCCCCGGCACTGGGTTAGCCCACGCGGGGACGCCCGTGCAAAATCAGCTGAGGCAGCAGAACGCGACGCGCGCCGGCTCTGCGATGCTCGCTCCTCGCCTAAGTGCTCTTACCCTGCCCCGACGCGTGCTTGCTTGCAGCCCAGACCAATCCTTTTCCAAGTCATCGCGTTAAAAGCCTTAATTCATTTGTCATGTTCGCATTAAGTAGGAGCGCTGTGCGCTCTAGATAAGCAGTCTGTGCTGAAAAGGAGATTGGTTTAAATTTTGCAACAGTGGGAGAGCCTTTTAATGCCTTTTGTCAGTCGTGCCTTGCACCAGGGAGGCATCTTATATATTTTTCAAGGGTGTTATGTTCGCAGACCTGGGCTGCCCCGATGGTGCCATGCCTCGCCGGGCAAAATCCCTATTGTGGTGCGTGTTGGGAATGGGAAAGCAAGCAGGGAACGGCCCGGGTTGGGTATTTTCGGGAGGTTAATCCCTCTGCATTGGCCCCGCAGATGTCATGGCGCCCGCAGTACCGCAGCTCCAAGTTTCGGAACGTCTACGGGAAGGTGGCGAGCCGGGAGCACTGCTTCGACGGCATCCCCATCACCAAGAATGTCCACGACAACCACTTCTGCGCCGTCAATGCCCGCTTCCTCGCCATCGTGACGGAGAGCGCGGGTGGAGGCTCCTTCCTCGTCATCCCCCTCGAGCAGGTAAGAGGTTTCGGCCCCAGTGGAGGGGACCCCGATCCGGAACCGGTCCCCAAGTGCTGGGCGTGGGGATGCGAGCTCCGTCTCTGCTGTCCTTCCCTGGGGAAGGGAGGATTTACAGCTGCTGTAGTGAACTGGTGTTGTTGGTTGATTGTTTTTTTCTTTAGAAAGGGAATGAAACATTTGTTTAAAGCATCTCTTTGCTCCAGTGGTTTTGGCATCTCTAAGGGGGCAGGTGGCAGCATCAAGAAATGTGACCGATCCTCTGCGATAGGTGGGAGTTATCCAAACCAGCAGCACAGCTCTGTGCTAAAGAAATGTTAAAGCAGTTGTTGCTAAGGCAAGGAAAAGGAGGAGGAAATGGGGTGTGTGGGGATGGAATTTGGAAAAAGCTGGAAAGGGCACGTCTCCACCCTGCCCCTTTGCAGTGTCGGAGGCCACTGGGGTTTACAACCCCAGGATTTCACCGACGCAGCTGCCAGCAAGCAGGGGAGTCCCCACAGAGTGGGTGGCAGGTCCTTGCCCTTTTATTCAGCTCGTCCATATGACCTCAACCCTCAGATATCACACCCTGGGCACCCTGAGAGGGAGAGCACGGCTGCGTGCCCCGTTTTCCCAATGCAAAGCCCGAGGGGTTTGGCTTTGCACGTTGCAGCAGATGCCAGCTCACGCAAGATTTCTTTTTTAAGACTCCACCACCATGCCACAGCCCCTTACAAGCTGGGCTGTGCAGAAGGCTCCGGGCTCCGCTTTGCAGCCGCATCCATCCGAAGCAGCTTTGCACCGGAGAAGCGGCACGTCGGCACCTCCGCACTGTCGGTCCTTTTTGCAGCACGAATCCTTCCTCTGTGCTTTCGCTTCGCCAGCCGAGACTTCCCCCGGGTGCCCACGTGAACCCACGCATCTCTCCCTCACGCGGTTTTGAACTCAATTCAGCTGATGCTTCAGAAGCTGCCCCGCAGCACCGTGGCGATGGCTCCTGGCCGAGCGGCAGACGCAGAGCTGCGCCTCTTCCGAGGACAAAACGGGTGGCAGCGACCTTGAACGTGAAATAACTCCGCTTTGCTTTGCTTCGCTGCCGAAATTTGAGCGTGGGGCACCACGGGTGCACCGATGCTGCTGCTCTCCCACCTGTGGAGCAGCAACTCCGAGCTGGTACCAGCCATCGCCCCCCCTGGGCAGCCTGTCCTCACCCCGCGGCTCTTGGGCTGCAGGAGGTGCACCCGGTTGCTCCTTCTCGAGCGCATTTTTGACATCGGAGGAGCTGCACTCGCTCCTCTTAAGGAACTTGAAGATGCGCCACTTGCAGAAGCGCTCACACGGGGAGAAGGTGGTTGTCTCTCAGGCTCCCAGGCAGCAAAATCTCTGTGCTGGGGTTCCCAGCCAGGATGGGAAGAGCCGGCGGAGGCGGGATGGAGAAGCGTTCCCCTCCTCACCCCGTCTCGCCATGCCCCGGCATTCCCCTTTAAAGTGTTTACCCCACGTGACGTTGGCGTCTCTGCTGAATTTTTTTTTCTTGAATTTCTGGAGTGGAGTCAGCTACAGATGGGAGAAATTATAATCAGCGTTTTAATTGCGGCGCACAGCTTGACTCTTATTAATATTCCAAAAAACGGGAGCTTTGTCTGAGCGCTCAGAGCTGGGAAGAGGATTCCTGTCCACACGCCACTGGCCCATGCTCCTAAATCCTGAGATAATAACCCAGGATTGACAGCAAATTACTTCTTTTCTCTCTGGGTCCCAGTGGGATAAGGGCAGAGGGAGCAGGATGCCGTTTGCAACCTGTTCTGAAGGGATCGTCAGCCCCGCGTGGAAATCCCGGCGACATCGTGCCGGATAATTCCCAGCCGGAGGAGAGCTCGGCACTCCGTGTCAAGTGGCTGCACACGCCTTTGTACAAGCTAATAATTTCATTATTATTTCTTTTAAAATAGAGACTGATTAGCTCATTAAGAGTAAACTAATTTTCTTTGGAAATCAGCAGCCCTCTAATTAATTGGCATCCATATTTAGCTGAACATAATTAAGGTAACCTAGATACTGCAGATCTACTCAGGATTTGATTTGCTGCCATCATGTTTGTTTTTTTTTTAAACATTTCTGCCCTCTGTTCTGCTCGGAAACGTTCACCAGCAACGCCTCTGTTTTACGCTTCGAGTGATGATGCATTTGCATACGCTGGGCCATATGTCCCTCGTCGGACACGCTGGTTCCTCGCGCGTTTGCGTCGCGCTTCAGGGGATGTGGAAGCGCTTCTGCAAGGCTGCAGGGGTTGGGAGGACAGAGCGTGGCTGCGTTTTGCTCCTCCATCTTCCCCGAGCCCCGTGCTGGGGCAAGAGCCTGAATTCTGGAGCTTCGGCCACTGGGAACCAGCCTGTCCCCGGCACCACAGAGGTTTTGTGCTATAAATATCCCCGGAGAGTCGAGAAGATGACGATTCGCTCCCCCAAACTGTAGCGACAGAAGGATTCCAGGCGTCAGCTGAAGGGGAGAGGAGTCTGTGTCGAAAATGCGTGTTTTGAGTCAGCGTTTTTTTGGTTTGAGCTCCATCACCACGAGCAAAATCCCCAGTTTGCTCAGACGGTGCAATTCTGCAGGGAGGCAGCTCGGTGCCGTTACATCCTCGGTCGTGGTCCAGCACCTCTGCTCCATCCACAGCGGCTCCACCTCGTGAGGAGGAGGGAGAGGGTCTGGGTGAGAAGGACCCGTGAAATTATAGGAAAGCCGGGATCTGGTCTTTAAAAAAAAAA